GAATCTCACCAGCTCCTCCACTTCTCTGGTAGGTGTTGCTTCAGGATCGTCTGAAGGTAGATATGCCGATCCGAGTATTACCTCCTTCGGTCCATTTCCTGCATCGATCTTGATTCTGACTGCTGTCAAATCTCTGGAACAGAAATAAGTTAACGGCAGTATTTTTATGCCTTTTTTGACAATTATGCAGGTTCGAGGGGTGTCTGTGGATCTGTCATATATTAACTCTCCACCCAACCCTCCTAAACCTCTTATTGTACCGTGTCTAATCCACGGCTCTTGTACCAGGGCCACTTCAAACCTCCCCATCGCCACTGTAAGTACCGCCGAAGCAGCTTTACAGTGCTGGAGGTTGATCTGGATTATCCTGATCCTCGCCAGGCCGCCTTAGGACCCTGAAGGTCACCCTTCCTAGCTTTACACCTTTACACCTCGTACCCTACGGTACCCTGAAAGAGAATGGTTAAGAACCAGTAATAAGAGAAACACAGGAGTAGGTGCTAAAATATATATTTACAAAAAAAAAAAAAATACAACGATAATTATATATGAACGGCTCCCTGCATTCGGAAAATCTATTCTTTAAAAACAAATTATTAAAATTGAAAAGTATTTAAATATTAACGGATCCCTATATCCGAAAAATTAAATAAAAATGAATTATTAAAGTTGAAAATTATTTAAACATATAGAAATATTTATGGTTTATTAGCACAGGAGACTAATCGGACTGGGAAATGTGAAACGCCTAGTATACGAAATATGTATGAAAATAAATTAATACACTTGAAAACAATTTAAATATGACGGTAATAAAATACAAGTAAATAAATGAAATCAAAATTGTCGAAGCCCCCTTGTTATCTTAATAACCAATCGATGGGAAACGAAAATTTTCTCCTACTGATAAATATGATTATTCACGCGGTGTTTTGAACGGAGACCACAACGATCGTAGAAAATAATATTTATGAATTTTGCCCAGCGTCTATCGAGAGCGTGTGTGTAAATTCAATTTTACAGAAGTCGTCGGCTTCGTTCAATAATTAGTTGTGGACGGAGAATGAATGAATGAATGAATAAATAAAAGAAAATAAATTTTACACGAAGTGAGGCGCGGACATTACTTAAAACGTCTTTTGGGGAAATTAGATACGTCATCAGGAGAGAGATCACTCTAGCCCGAGAAACGGATCGAATCTCCGAAAAAAGAAAAAAAAAATAAAACAATAAAATATAAAAAAATCGAAAACAGGTCGAATCTCTCACTTCGATGTTAACTGGGCGGTTTTTAAAAGAAATTGGATATAGTAGCTGACATAGAGAACACTCTGTGTCTAGTCTAGGTCCAACATCAAATAAAAAATTGCCAACGGTTTCCCACTAGGGGGATGAAATGAAAAATGCTGGGCATGAATCAAAATTATTTCACTTGTCGGACGGGTGTCACTAACTAATTGTAAATAAAAAAATAAGCGGTTTCCTACCTTTAGAAAAATAAACGGAGTTGATCGATGAACTAAATCACGGGACTCACGGGACTAGGTACTAACTAAGGGTGAAAAGTTTTCGGCTGTCGGCAATCACGAGAGAAGATCTTACGGCGGCTGGCAAGCGAGGAGAGAGGTAATTCCCAGATAGAATTTAATTTATGCTTTTTCGGTAAAGCAAGATGGAAGACCATTAAGACAAAGTGGAGATACCACTACTATAGCTGACTGTTTACAATTTAAAAATAAAAAAATGCCCTTATAGTCCTTGACAAATAAAAGGTAGATAATCCATACGAAATCGACTCTAAAAATGCCCATTCGGGTTTCGGCAAATATAAGAATATTTTAATCTACGAGGGTACTCGCAATTGTTGAAAAACGGTAATTCCTGGGAAACAGAAATTAGGGGGAACTTTTACATGTTCTCAGGCGGGAATTAATTGAAATATACATTTTTAAGATGAATTAAAAATAAAATTAAGTGACTTCGTCACACATATTAAATAATAAACGATGTGATAACTTTGTTTGTTTATAAATTAATTGCAATTTCTGAAGATCATGCTAATAAGATTACGCTTTTCAGTCGATTTTGTAACAATGGTCAGATTTCCACTGGAGGAAGCTAATTAGTACCGGAAATATTCCTTTAATGTTTTATTTTTGATTAGTGTGACGGAGGAGATGGAATGACGTATGACATTTAAGGATATGATAGAAAGTTCTCTTCCTTGGGATAAAAATCGTCCTAGCCAAAGCAATTTTTAATATTTTCTTTTCTTCGGGAGATAATGCACATTTAGACCAGGGTCGATAATTTTTGAAACCAAAAAAAATAATAGTAGGATGAAACCCGTTAAAAAAGGACGAGAATATAACAAAAATGAAAGGAAAAATAATTTACAGGCGATCTGAGGTCGGGAAGTGAACGGGGGTGAGTTTTTAAGGGTAAAAAACGGTTTATCTCGATTTCCGGCAAAACTACATAACTATGCTTAATGTTTTCAGAAAATGCAAAGAAAAGAAAAAAATCCGAATTTTTTTTTTTTTAATTACTTTTAATTACTTGAAAAACGTCAGATTCTTTGTTACATTGATAAACAAAAAAATACAAATCCATAAATCATAAAAATTGCAAGAAACATGCGAAAATAGTTGTTCTAAATAATAAAGATAGGATTTAAAGGGAAGATTTCAATTAAAAAATGTGATTGCTGCAATCTTTTTAGTCAAAAAGTTGATTTATTAAATTCTAATTACATTTATGTCATGGAAAATCTCATAATATATGAATAGAAATGTAAATCTTACTATTGAATTTAGATACTTAATACTGATTATTATTATTATTATTATTATTATTATTATTCATAATAATATTTTAAAATGCATTAAATTTATTTATAAATCTTATCTTGAACCCTAATCACTTATCCATTACTTTTGTCTCTTCGTTAGATTCTAGTAGATCTTCGAAATCTTCAAGACCATCACCGTCTTCGTATCCAATCTGGTCCTTCATCCACAATTTCATCTGAATTACTAACTTCCTCATAGGTTTTTTCTTCCAAATTGGTGCATTTTTCAGAAGCATTACAATTTGAGCACAAATTTGTGCATTTTAAGCCATGTTTTCGGCAGCCACATTTTAAACTGTTACATCCAGTTTCACAGCTACAACTAATAGTTTTGAACAATATTTCCGGAATTAACTCCTTCTCTGTAAATTTGGGCATAATCCCACGTTGATGTTGCTTCCAGCCCCAATCTGTTGCTGTCAGTTCGTTACCTAGCCAAGTTTGAAGTTGATAATATGTTCTGTGGGTAGGAGATTGCCAATATAAAAGATGACTTAATTTTTGCCAATTGATATTTTTGAAATCTTAATTGATTGAGTGTTTTATTATCATTTTTACATTTATAAATAGATTTGATTAATTGTAAACCATTTTTTTCGATATCTTTTTTTGTTTGCATCTTTTTTATAAAAAATATTGGCCAAATTTGACACATTTTTATCATCTAATAATGAATTTACAATACTCTTCTTTCAACAATGCAGAAATGCAACGATATCTTTGAAGGATTCATATTTGAAACTATTAGACGTGAAAAATAGATATTTTACATTTCCAGAACCTGGTTTGAGAAAATAAATGTCATGATTGATTCAAAAGGACCAACAGATCAATATCTTGACCCACAACAATGACAGTTTTATTGGTATCTCTGGCAATTTCTATCGAAGTTTTAATAATGTCTGCATCAGCATCTTCTTCTGCTTGTTTACAGGAAAATCCTTATGACTGTAATCTTTTCATTAACATTTTTATTATTTTGTCCTTGTTTTTCTTGTTAGATAAAAATTGTTCTTGCTGAAATGGTATTTTTGTATGGTTTTGATAATCAAACTCTGGAATATTGTCTGAGGTTTTTCTACGACTACGTTTTCCTTTTTTAGTTGAAGTAGCTGCTGGTACTGTTGTCACAGTAACTGATTTTTTAATTTCGGGGTACCCATCAAAAACGATATAGCTGCTTGCTGCGTAATGTTTTTCTACATAGCGAAAATATTTATTCATGATCTCTTCCACCGTTTCATTTCTCTGCCAAATTACTTTGTGCAGTAAAAATCCACCGTCGACGACATGCACAATGCCGTCAGAATGCGTTGGTCCATTCGCACTCACAAATAAATCGTAAAGTTGAGATTTAACATTTTTTCTGAGGCCATTTTCTGTAAAAAGTGACAAGTAATTAAAGTGTAAATTTTACTAAATAGCTCAAAATTATACATAGTGAATAAAAAAAAATTTCGTATTTGAGTTTTTTCTTTTCTTTGCATTTTCTGAGAACATTTACCATAGTAATGTATATATTTTTTTACATTATCAGAAAGAAGAGATTTCAACGAACAAAAAACTCGCCGACTTTTTTTAAACAGCTGATATTTTGACGCGAGAATTTTCGATTGAAAATTAGGGTGTTTTTTTGATATTAAGTCAAAATAAGGTGAAAAAATAAATATTTCAAATCAAAAAAAATTACAGTGTCTTTAGGATATAAAAAGGTAAGTTTTCACTAAATTTCGTGAAAAAAATTTTTTTTTGCATAAGATAAAAATAAAAAACCAAAAACTTGATTATTTGAATTTATTCACATAAATTTTGAGGTTATGTGAAAAAAGTATAATTAGAAAAGTTGTAGGTCTCTTTATTACCTACAACTTTGTTATTCAATTTTTTTCCATAGGACTTGTAATTTTGCCGGAAATCGAGATACACCGTTTTTTACCCTTAAAAACTCACCCCCTTCCACTTCCCGACCTCAGATCGCCCGTAAATTATTTTTCCTTTCTTTTTTTGTTATATTCTCGTCCTTTTTTAACAGGTTTCATCCTACTATATTTTTTTTTCACTTTTTACCATTTTCAAAATTATCGACCCTAGTCTAATTATAAATTTTTAAAGTTATACTCCGTATAATAATTTATTTTTATTTTTTCAGTGAAGGTGAAGATCAACCGCGGTATCGCTTTTGGCGCACTCCTTCGGTAGTGGTTAGCGATTATTCGGACGACATCATGGGTCTTACCTTGGAAGACATCGAGTATATTCGTAGCCGCAGGGAGAACTCGATATCGCCGGATTCGAGTTTGCACAGCTCGTGCAGTAATTTAAACTATTGCGGGTCGAGTTTAAGCGGTTTGGAAAGTGACTACATTTTGTGTCAACCGTATAGGAAGAATTCTATTTGTTCTACGTGTTCTACGTTAAGCGACGATGAGGATGGGGAGTCTTTGCATCATAAAAAAGAGGTGAGTAATCTTAGACAATTGAGAGAAAATGCATCATGTATAATAACGGACGCAGGCTAACAAATAAGATACGTTTTGAGAATAAAACTTAACGTACAAGTATTTTAATAGCTGTGTCTATAGTATTGTGTGGTATTGTATTACTTACCTGACTGGAGTGCTAATACATAGATGTAACATTTTATTGACGTGAAGCCGATTATTAATATTTTTACTTACAATCGATTAGTAATCTGTAGATATGTTAGATTTTTTGTTGGATCGATTTTCGATCAATGTCGGGCAGTGGCTGCTATGGTGATGTCGTTCCTTCTTGAATGCTTCCCGCTTCTTTGGCGCACATGCATAAACGACCGGATGATTAAAGAGCGCCAAATTCAAATAATTTAAATATAATCTAACACGGCCAAACTGACATAATTCTGCTCTCGGAATGTATACATTTTAAAACATAAGAAATTTTATACGGGCAAATAGTAAAACATTTATGTTTGAATGCACTTTAAATAACCCAAAAAAATTGCGTTATGGTTTTTATACGAATTTAATGTAATAGAAAAAATGCGAACTAACAGAATGACCCTTTTGCCGGTCAATGTTGCACCAACCGCCTCAAATTTTTTACAATGTCAAGTACCGTATGATTTTTAGAACAAGGCGCAAAGAATATGCCATATGTGTGGCATTGCCGGTTTAAAAATAAAGTCTAAAACAATAACAGGCCGCCCCCTTGAATAAAAAATATTACATATAACCCAATATAAAATAATCACAAAAAAACAGTGGACTGTATATATAAAAAAACGAATGTAAAGTCAAGTTTTTCGAATATTACTCGATTTCTATGGGCACTATGCACAATTTCGCTATTGCTCTTTTAAACACTCCCATAGAAGTTTTCACTGTCATAACGCGACATTATCCATCACTCCCGGTGTGAATGTCAATAACTCTGCCCAGTGACCATTTTAACGGAGGTAAGTCATCGTCCTTCATCAGTACCAAAGCACCTACTTGCACGTTGTCCTCAGGTATCCTCCATTTCTTTCTTTGTTGCAGCGTGGAAATATACTCATTGGACCACCTACTCCAAAATTCTTAAATCAGCTGAGTCAATAACTGATACCTTTTTAGTCTGTTTTGTTTAACATTTAACAAATCTTCATGTGAAAGAGCAGTCAATGCAGATGTGTCCAGGTGTCAAAACATTTAGGTCTATCTGAGTTGCAACCGTATATAATTCCTTAAAGGAAAGTATTTGCTCTCCCACCGCCCTCCGTATATGAAACTTCCACAATCCACCAAAATGCGGTGACCTTGGTAGTATGAAATGCCATCGGATGAACATTTTCGAAAAGAAATCCGTAAGCTTATTTCGTCTGTTATCATTTCGAAAATATTCTTATAATTTTTGTATTTCGTTATTGGCCCTTACAAAATTGGTACCATTATCGGAATACAAATCACTACATAATCCCCTTCTCGCGATAAAACGTTTAAAACTATTTAAAAATGCCTGTGTTGTCAGGTCTTCTACCAATTTAAGATGTACTGCATGAGTGGCGAAGCAAATAAATACGCATAAATAAGTCTTCTTAGTCACTGCACCCCTTACCTTTTGCATCTTTGTTTCAAAGGGTCCACAAAAATCAATTCTACAATGACTAAAGGGCCTAGACGGCGTAACTCGCGCTCTAGGTAACTTTCCTATTAATTGCTTTGCCACACGTGGCTTTACCTTGTAGCACACTATACATTTTCTTAAAACCAATCTGACTGTGCGTCTTCCACCTATAGGCCAAATTGCTAACCGAATATTTGCAAGTAATGCCTGCGCGCCTGCATGTAGCATTTTATAATGTTCATGTCTTATTAATAAAATAGTCAAGTGACTTTTATCTGATAAAATTATCGGGTAACTTTGTTTAAAGCTTAATTCCGATTTAGCTAGACGACCCCCAACCCTTAATATTCCTAGTTCGTCCTAAAATGGATTAGGCGATATGAGTTTACTGGACTTTGGCAAACCGTTAGAATTTTCTAGAAAACGAATTTCAGTCTCAAAATGTTGTTTCTGAGATAACCGTACTAAAATATCTAGAGCCCTTAGTCTTTCTTCAACCGTTAATGAGCCTATTTTTCTAAGTCCCTTCCCTTTTCGACAATTTTCCATAAATCGTAAACAAAACCCAGTCACCCCCAATAATTTTACCCAACAAGAATAACGCTCTAAGATTTCTATTGAAATTGTTGACACGAAACATTTTTTCATTGACCGCCTCTCTGGAATTTCTGCTACCTCATACCCATTTTGTGGCCAGTCTTCTTCATTTTGTGAAAGCCACTTTGGCCCGTGCCACCACAAATCACTACATTTTAACAAGCCCACATCCATACCTCTGTATATTATATCTGAGGGGTTGTATTGTGAACTAACATGACTCGATTTCGTCCTTTCGACAACTCCTGAATTTCAGCAGTACGATTAGTCACAAAGGTATTCCATTCTATAGGTTCACCTCCTAACAAACACAATACTATAGTGGAATCACACCAAAGCCGAACCTTACTATTTTGCAACCCCAAAGCCTCAACTACTGCACTGCATAATCTAGTCCCCAATAATGCTCCACATAATTCAAGACGAGGAAGCGAAACTACCTTCAACGGAGCAATCCTAGATTTTGCCCATATTAAATGTACCCAATATTCCCCTGCTCTATTCTTCGACCTAGCGTAGATACAAGCACCATACGCAAGGTTGCTTGCATCGCAGAAACAGTCGAGCTCTATCTACACAGAATCGGAACAAAATATCTGCTTGTCAATATGTAAGTCTCCTAGAGATTCTAATTGCTCTTTGAAATTAGTCCATGCTAAGCCTATTTCTGAGGGTACCTCTTCATCCCAATTTACCTTAGACTTCCACAAGAACTGTAACAACAATTTTGCCCTAACTATAATCGGCCCTATAAGTCCCAGGGGATCAAACACTTGTGCAACACAAAATAAAATAATTCTTTTACTCAATATTCCTGACTTATTCTGTTCCGTCTCTGATAATTTTCTCGAGTTTATTTCAAAATGTAATGTATCCCTATTTGAATCCCAAAGCAATCCCAACGTCCTTGAACTATCTTCCTCTTTAGCCAAGTAATGATCCTTATCGTCATCATCAATTTCCTCGATTATCGTTTCCTTCCGATTAGACCTCCATTTCCTAAGATGAAAGTCCCCAGTTGCTAAGATGCTACTGACTTCTTGCCTTAATTTTATAGCTGCCTCTATCGACTCCGCCCCCGACAAGAAGTCGTCCATGTAAAAATCAAGTAAAATAGCTTCCCCTGCCTTATGATACTTCAGCTGATTTTCTTTACCCAATTTCTAAAGACATCTGACAGCTAAATACGATGCACTTGCCATCCCATACGTGATTGTGTTTAATTTGAAATTGTCTATTGGTAGGCTAGAATTAAATCGCCACAAGATTATTTGGTAATCTCTCTGTTTTTCCTTGATCCACACCTGCCTATACATCTTTGCAATATCCCCTGTAATAACCACCTCATGTTGCCTAAAACGAGTAAAAGTCCAAACAATATCGTCCTGTAATTTAAGACCCACCAATAATCTATTGTTTAGGGAAGCACCATTGCTAGTAGCTGCGGTAGCATCAAAAACCACACGAAGTTTGGTGGTACTAGATGTCTTCTTCTATACCCCATGATGTGGCAAATAACATATTTTACCTTCCTTATACTGAATACCCTCAAGTAAGTCTTCTGCCATATTAACCTCTAAGACTTTCTCGGATTCAGTTCCCAATTTAGACATATGACCTAACCTTAAATATTCTTCGATAAAACTATGATATTCCTCTTTCATTATTTCGTTTCCCTCCAACCTTCTCTCCATGTGATGTAACCGTTTTTTTGCGTAAGATTTACCCAACGTAGTTATTCCGTTCTTAAAAGGCAAGCAACAACAAACCTACCCGTATTGTCTATAGTAATGTTACTTAAAAACTCTTTTTCACGCTCTTCTTCCTCAGCAGATAATCTCTTTTCGTTAGGATACTCCTCCAAAACTCAAAATGTTTCTAACTGCTCCTAAATACTAACATTTGCGCGCTAAATTACATGTTCCTGTTTTCGGCCCCAAACCTTGGTTAAAATTATACTTAGCTACAGGTCCTTATTTCGTTTCCTGAATTATTGTTTTACCAGTACCTAATTTAATTCTACCTGTTTCCAATAGATCCCAAAACACTAGCTCCTATCAACAAAACCAACTTTGCCGCAGTCCCATAGTTTCTATTCCCTAATTTAATACCTTTTGGAATATTAATTACATTTTGTTTGAGAGATACTGCCGGAATGTTGTTTGATATATTTTCGATTATCAAAAATGGTTCCCTAAATGTATAATCACAATATTTCGAAAATACCATAGCATGCACATATTTATTTATATGGGTAACCCCACTTCTTATACCCAAAATTTTCATGTCCATTTTCTTTAGTGGCAGCCCTAGCCTTTCTCTAACGCCCAAGGTCATAAATGAAGATTGGGATCCACAATCAAGCAAAGCCCTAAGTTTATGCTTGTTCCCAATACCATCTTCAAAATCTACCATTACCGTCGAAAGTGATATTTCAGAAATATTGTTCCCGTTCCCCTTATCAGTCTGAAATTCACTAACATGTCCAGTAAAACCCATATCGTTTACCTCAACATTGTTTACCATCATTGTATTCTGTGCCTCTGCTGCACTTTCTGATACCCTATTTACTTGTGCGGATATATTTTCTACGTGCAAAATTGTATTGTGCTTTCTAGCACATTTTGTACATCCCCTTGACCTACAATACTTTGCTCTATGTCCTTTTTTTAAACAATTATAGCATACCCTTTCCTTGGCTACTACATCCATTTTGTCCCCTAGCGACATGTTCATGAAGGCCTGACAATTTTGTAGGTCATGATGCTGCCTTTCCATA